TTCTGCTGCCAGCTCCCCACTCTTCCCTCTGACTCTTCTTTCTGTGTTCACCTTCCCCCTGCCACTACTGCCAGGCAGACCCTTCCTCTTCTTTCATACCCATCACTGCCTCCCTGCTCGGCCGGCCCCTCCATCCCTGCAGCAGTGAGAAGCCTTAATTTCTGGTACTGTGTGAGCACTCTGGGGGTGTCTCCCTCCCCCTTCAGGGGCAGCTAGAGGATGAGGGGGGAGGGTATTTAGCACTGGGGCCTGGAGCTTTTCCCCTACTCTGAACCCTACCACCCCTAAAGTTCAAATGCAAAACACTTGAAGCAGCAACTACTGTACCTGGGCCCCAATCCTGCACTCTTCCCCTGGCTCCTCATATGCAAATCAAGGGCTGGTTCTGCCCCCACAGCCTGCCCCCCTCCTCTCCTCCCATTTCTGGCCTGGCCCCCTAACCACGCACTTTAACCTTGCTTCTTTCTTTTTACTTCTTTTGGGAGAGCGGAGCCTGTGGCCATTCCTTCCCTGGCCCTTCTCTCCTTGAACTTTGAGGCTTGTCATGAATTTTTAAGTAAGCATTTTATCTTTTAGGGGAAGAAACAAATTTATTTCCTGCCCATTTCAAAACCACAACTCTAGTATGTCCTCCGTGTTTCAGGCATGTGCTTGCATGTGTGTGGAGGGAGGGACTGTGTTCTTCCTCCTGTGCCCGCAATCCCAGAGTTCCTTTATGCCCCCTGTCTGCCTCCATCTCCTGTCACGTCTGAGAGTAATCACTACCCCGGTCACTCCTGATCTGAAGCCAAAGATGGTGGGAGGGGCAGGGCAGACTAGGGACTGTGGCCATGAGTTGGAGAAGCAGGCCTCCCTCCTGTGAGGAGGAAGCTCGTAAGGAGAGAATGACAGGTAGATACTGAGGCTTGGTCTCCTGCCTTCCCAGCAGGGGGAGAGATGGAATTGAGCTGGGGGCTGAACTTATAAGACTCCTAGAAGGTGCACCCCAGAAGCCAAACTGGGCTGGAGTGAGGAGGGGGCAGTTTTCTCTCTAAATGTAGCATTGAATCTGGCCCTGGTCCCTTCAGATGCCCTGTCCATCCTTCTGCTAGGTAAGCCTCTGCATAGTTGGACCCACTCCTGTAGCCCAGTGTTCCCTTCCTCACACTCAATACCTCAGCCAGGGGCCAAGACACAGAACTTGAATAGAGGTCCTGCCCCACTACCCACTCACACAGTGCATCCTTGCCCAGTTTGGCTGTCATCAGTATTGTCCCTCGAGAACTGGACAGGCTTCGTTTACACAGTACAGGGTCTCCCCTAGGGAATCCCTCATCCACCTTCCCCACTCAAGCTTGCTTTATTCACAATCTTACCCATTTTTCAGTTGTGTCCCCTGAATGTCTTGCCACCTTTGCCAAGGGTGGGCTAAGGGGAGAGGGCCTGTCCCAGGGATCCCTCTCTCCCCACAGATACCCTTAACCTTACCTCATGCTGGTTCCCTGAAGCCTGGGGTGTTTGTCCAAGTCCTTAATTTTATTCATGATCCCTATTATTCCCCTGTCTCTTTGTGTCTTGCTTCCCCCAACCCTCAGATCCTAAACCATTTCAAGGCTTCCAAATGACCATTATTGGTGAGAAGGATTGTGCAGCTTTTAGTTTTTATTTTTGTTTTCAAAGCCAAAGGGCCTTGTGATGCCCCTCTTGCCCACCTCCCTTCATACCCTGTCCTCCCCTATACGACAATCAATGTGACCTCTCTTAAGGGCTGCTGCCCCCACCCCAACCCTGCTGGTTCTGCAAAGCTTGCCCCCTAACTTCAATTCTCTCTCCTAAAATCTTCCCATTCCACCCCCTCCCTCTCATTTTGGTGCTGGGAATTAGGTGGTGGGGGGCACAGGGAGCAGGGAGATGGGTCCTGTGGGGAAGACTTGGGGTATCAGTCGTGTTCTCCTTTATCAATGCTTGGCGATGACAGGAAGAATCTGAGTATTTGTCAGGAGCCCCATTGTTTTGTTTTGCTAGATGAGATTTCTGGTGGCTGTGTGTTCCCTGCTGCCCCTCGGCACACTGTCAGCAGTGCTGGGGGGGGGTGGCAGGAAGTCCTCTGTCCCTCCTCATGTGGCTGTGAGGAGGCCTGGAGGGCAAGCAGCCTCCTCTCCTTATGCCAAAGGAAATCCTGCACCCCAGCCCGAGTTCCCTAGTCCCTAGTGTTTTTTGAAGCATTTTGACCATTCTCATGGCCACTGCATATTTATTTTAATGTTAAGATTTTTTTGACTTAAACGGGTGTGGAGAAGTAAAATAGGCAGAATGCCCCCCAATCTAAAGGGGGTAGGGTGGGGGAGGAAGTATCTCCTTCTCTTTACCCTCCCTTCTCCCCTCCCCCTCTCCCCACCACAGCTCTAAAGCACTTGCTTCAAGTAATAAGCACTTTTGTGAAAAGGCCTATTTTAAGTGAGGACCCTGGGAGCAGCCCCAGGTCCCAGCAAAGGAGATGGAGCGAGGGCTACACAGGAGACAGATGTGTGAATCAGAGGGCGATGTGAAAAGAGCCAGCTTTTAGTTTCTGATTTTGGGGGGATGTTTCTGATTGGGCGGTGGCTTTGGTAGGGTTGTGTTCTATCCTTCAGAAAAACACATGGCACAAACTGTAGGTCCCTGGAAGGACCAACAGACCTGGGTCACTGCCACTGTCCAACTGAGACTGATGGGCCACCTCCCCCACCCGTGGCCCCCTGAGCCATAGGACTGCTGAGAACCACTGAATGTACAGCCCAGGTTGGGGTGGGGAGCAGCCCTGGGGGGAGGGGGCTTCTCCTTTTGTTTGGTGCTGTGGGGGTGGGAGAGATGAGACTGAGGGACTGCCACCCCCCATGTAGACGTGTGTTCCTTGGGGTGGAGGGGCTGAGGAGGGTCTGCCTCCCTCTCCAACCCCAGCCATGGCCCCTCTTCCTTTCTCACCCCTATCCGTTTTGACTGTAAGTCCAGCTCACCTTTGCCTTCAATATGTAACCAAAGGAAAACTCAATACTGTTTCCACCGCTGTCTGCCCACCTGAGCACCTTCTTACTCCCTGGACCTAGAAGGGGAGAAGAGGCTGGTGGTAGGATGGGTGGGGCCAGAGTGAACGGTTCTACAACTGTACCCCCAAACCTTCTCCGCGGTCTTAGAAGGGGTCCTGAGAGGCGGGGTGGGACAGGCTGGCGGGGCTGGGAGTAGGCACACTCTGTATCTTATGCACATGAGTGTTTCTTTGTTGAAATGACTCCAGTGACTATGCTCCAGTGGGGTGGCCCCTTCCTCCTTCCCTCTCAGCCATTTCTCACCCTCTCCCCACACCCAGTGTTCATCCCTTGCCTCCCCTTCCCACCGCAAAGGAAAATAGCCTTACAGACCCTAGCCCAGAAACCCTACTCCTGGGGCAAGCCAGTATGGGCCCCCATCCCGCCAAGTTTGAACCCTACCTTTTAAGAGGAGGGATAAGGAGCAAAGCAGCCCCTTCCCCTCTAATTGTGGTGGCTCCAGCCTTCCGCAGCCTTGACCCAGGTTGGACAAGGGCGGAGGTAAGGAATCTTTGAGGACCAAGCCCAGTGGTCTGGGAAGAGGGAGGTAGAGAGGGAAGGGTCTGACTTGAGGACTCCCTCCTCCTGACCCAACCCCTAGAGAAGCGACCAAATCCCAGAGATGGGAGGGAGCTGGGGTAGGGAGGGTCTGCTCTTTGAATTACTTGAAGGTACTGACTCCGAGGCTGCTGTTGCCCACATAGGTGTGAGGGGGACACTGTCACTGCTTTTGGGAGGGCAGAGGGTGGCGGGTGACGAGAGGATCTGCCCTCGGCCCTCGCTTACTCCCGCTAGGCCCTTTTCCTGAGGAGTCCAGAAGTCTGACTGCCCCAGGGAATTCGGGGAGAGCCTTCCCTCCCGTCTCCATCCTCACTCTGGGCACCCCCTCCAATTGCACTAAAGTAGCTGTTGTGCCAGTCTTACCCCACACCAGGGTGGGGCTCTGCTTCCAGTCTTTCCCTACCACCTCCACTCCCATCCCGGACAATCTCCTTGTTCTGCTTGTATTCCTGGATAGCTCAGCTTTGTATGTGTGTGTTTGGGGGTGGGGGTGGGTCCTGGCTGGAGTGGGTTTGGCAGGGGTTTGGGAAGGGCTAGGGGAAAGATGGAGGATGAAGTCTCCTATCCCCTTCTCCAATTCCGAGCCACAGAAGCTTGGGAGGGAGGGTGCCTACTCTCGCTGCCGTGTGTCTTGCAGATGTGCCAAAATGGGGGTGGGTGGGAGGGGAGGGTGCCTGGCAGAGCAGCCCCCAGGGTGGCTCTCTCAAAGCAATACAGTTCCCCTGCCTGGGGGACGGCAAGACAGGGGAGAGGGTTGGGGTGGGAACCTGGGGGTTCCCCATGTACAGCTGTGTATATTCAGGGGTGTTCTCTGTCTGGTACCCACTGTGGGCATCTATGTGTGTGTGAACTTCCCCTTTCCCATGCCCTGCATGACCTGTGATGCTGCAGACACCACCATCCTGTGTGCAGGTGTGTGTTGGGGGGCACAGAAGGGCATGTTCCATGTCCTGTTGCACCTTCCACCCTGTGACCCATGTACTCGGTTGTAGGAAGTAAAGAGAACTGAGCACAATTCACTGGATTCTAGTTGAATCTTTCTCTAAGCAATTTTCCCATTCCTGCCCTTCTCCCTGCCCCGGATCCACCTGTGGTGCTAGTGTTGGGGTCGGGGGTGTTTAATGCTGATGGGCAGCAATAAAGGGCAGATCTGCCCAAATGCCTGCATCCCCAGGGTGCTGAGGGCAGCAGGAAAAAGTGGGGACCTCGGTGCATTTTGCCCCACCCCTCCCCCTCTTCCCTGGGCTAAAGCACAATGCTCTCCCTGAAGATTGATGCACCCTGCACCCCCCCCAGGCCCTACTCATGTCCTCCCCCAACCTGCTTTGAGCCCTCCCACCACACCCTGGTTTTTCTATGCTGTTTTGGTGCAAGTACAACTGTCGTAGTCATGGCTTTGGGATGGGTTCTGTTTATTAAAATCCTATTGCTCCTACTGGCCCTGTGTCCCGCCTCCATTCCTGTGGTTGGGGGGAAGGAAGGGCAACCTGGACCCCTTGCCCCTGGCCCCCATCAGCCATCAGGGACCAGGGGCAAGAGCTGCTCCTCCAACAGGGCTATGGTAAGCATGAGGCTGCCCCCCAGCAGCAGCCCCAGCCCCTGCAGTAGCACATGGAGAGTAGGCAGGGGCTCTGGAGGACGAAGCAGGGCTGGCAGCTGAAAGAAAAGAAGAATGTCATGATTCTGACCTTGTCTCTGACCTCTTAACTCAAGAGGAAGGGTGTCTAGTCCCTGCCAGAACACTTTCTATCCCTTGTGTCTCAGATTCTGGCAGACCTGTGGAGCAACACCCTCCAGGATCTGGTGGTAGAAGTCAGAGGGACTGATACTTCCCTTTCCTCCACACCCATCTCCCCACTTCCCTTGATTTCTCTGCTGTTCCCCACACCTCTCACCATGTCCACAAGGGCCACATAGAGGAAGACCCCAGCAGTGATCCCAAACACCCAGGGAGTGAGGGGGATAGGGCCCAAGCTGAGCCCCACCCCAAGTGCTGCACCCCCAAGACCCAGGGCTCCAGACACAAGACTCAGCAGCAGCAGCCTCCGAAAGGACAGCCCTGCCTGGAGCAGCATTGCAAAGTCACCTGTTGGGGAGAGAGGATAGAATAGGAGGGAATAAGCCAGCGCTGCCCCTCAATCTGTGTTGCCTACCAGCCTCCAAGTTCTACCCCTTGGAGGCTACTCCTCTTGAGAGCCCACCCCACCCTCCTGGGCCATTCCTACCCAGTTCATGGGGCAGCTCATGGCAGAAGACTGCTAGGGTAGTGCTGAGGCCACTGGAGAAACCATCGGAGAAGGCAGCACCTGGGGTTAGCAGGATTGGAAGTCGGCCCAGAAGTCTCCTTGGGGGTCGGTGCCTGTGTGTGTCTGTCATTCTCTCATCTCCCCCACCTTCCCCGGTAGCCATCTTCTGGCCACAGCTGATAACTACAAACCCTGAACTACCCTAGGACTAGCCTCCCCCACACCATTCCCTCTTCTGTCACCTATGGCCAGCCCATCAGTGAGGTTGTGTAGACCGTCTCCTAGAAGGACCATCCATGTGATGTTGGCACTGCTGCCACCCTGGTGCCTGTGACTGTGGCTTTGGTGCCCAGGAAGGGCTGGTGCTGGTGAGGACTGGCTGTTCTGCTCCCTCTGGCCCTGAGCCCCTGTCTCTGCAGGAAGAAGGACAAGTGTTGGTAGCTGCAAGTGAGACTGCCTGATGGAGCCTACTCCTTATTTTCTCTTCTAGTCACCTGGAGCTGCCTGTAGGGGCCGAAGGGCCATCCCACTGCCATCCTCGGGGTCCAAGTTTGGTGTTTCGAGGTCCCTTTTTCGCCTGCAGCATCTCTGAAATAGGATTGTATCCCTCCTGGTGGAGGAGGCAGCAGAACTGGGGGATAAGGGGAAGCCAGGCCACCAGGTGGGAAAAGTAACACCTGGTTCCACTTCTGGCACCTGGGGGTGTTCTTTGGCCTCTATTCTCTTCCCAAATTGGCACCTCCCTCTGTTTCTTGTTGACTTGAACTTAGGAGAGGAGGCCATTTGGCCAGAAGTCCTGGGTCTGTGCTAGGAAACCCCTACCCATTCTTGGCAGACAGGTCCTGCACAGTTAGGCAAATATCCAAGATCCAGAGGCACATGCTGCCCCTCACCTCCTGGCTTGTTTGGCCAGTTCCTGGCTAGGACTCTCATCTTGGCAGGAGGAAGAGAAAAGGGTGTCACTCACTGGCCGGAGACCTCTGTTCTGCAAAAGCCCCAGTGTGTTCTCCAGTGTGAAGAGCAGGAAGAGGCCTCCAAGCACCGATATCCCTGGACCCAGGTCCTCCTCTGGTTGTCCGCTAGATCCTGTGTGTTGCCCTCCTTTTGCCTGAGAGAGAGGAGGTCAGGGCAGACCTGGAAGCACCTATATCAAATAGCATCTCCCTCCCTTCTGGAAGGAAGCTGTGGGCTGAAGCCAGATGTGGGGGAGTGGGACGTGGAAACTGACAGAAGGGGGAGGGGATGTCCTATGGCCAAGAATGAAGGCTGGCTGTCATTGGTCAGGGATATAAAGAAGGGGCTTCACGTACATGTGGCAGCAGGTGTAGCAGTGCATCCCCACAAAGAGTGCCCACGGCCAGGGCCCCCAGGAAGCCCAGCAGGGGCTGCAATAGACGAGGTCCCAGGAGCCGTAGCAGCAGCAGGGAGAGGGGAGCAGGGAGGCTGAGCAACAGGACTGCCAGGGCACTATGAAGCAGGGCTGGGGAGAATCAGGGGCTGAAGTTAGGCCAGGGCTGGACCCACAGGCAATGTGGGGCCCCAGCAAATCCCCTTCCTTTGCATGGGGTCTACTCCCTACTAGGGCTCAGGGTACCCCACCCCACTCTCACCCACTGACCAGAAAGTAGATTCCCTGGAGGTGCTGGGGCTGGGACTTGGATGCACACACGGCTGTCGATCTGATAAAGCAGGGCTGGGCACAGCAGAGCAAACTGATGGGGGGTCAGAGGGGCAGCAGGGCTCAGTCCAAAATTGACCAGCAGCTGGGAGCCATTCAGACACTGGGCAGTTGAGGAGAGGGTCATACCTTAGGGAGACACTCGTAACTGACTCATATCTTTACATCTGTCCTTCCATTGCATGAACTACTGGGTCTCTTCTAGGGTCCCCTTTGCTCAGATTGGCAGGTACACCAGGGACTGAGGACAAGGGTACTTATAATCAATATTTGTTAATTACTAGTGAATATTCAATCCAGTGCAAATATTCAATTTGATACAAAATAGGTGCTAGTGAATACTGCCATCCTCTCTCTTCCCCAAGCCCCTGATTATTCTTTTTTTTTTTTTTTTTTTTTTGTGGTACCAGGAATTGAACCTAGGGGCACTTAACAGCTGAGCCACATTCCCAAGCCTTTTCATTATTTATTTATTTAGGTACTGGAGATTTAACCCAGGGGTACTCAACCACTGAGCCACATCTTCAGCCCTTTTTATATTTTATTTATAGATAGGATTTCGCTATGTTGCTGAGGCTGATTTTGAACTTGTGATCCTCCTGCTTCAGCCTCTCGTCGAGATAGTGGGATTACAGGTGTGCACCTCTGTGCCTGGCTTAATTTTTTGTTTTGAGACAGGGTCTCACTATGTTGCTTAGGGCCTTACTAAGCTGCTGAGGCTGGACTTGAATTTGCAATCCTCCTGCCTTAGCCTCCTGAGTTGCTGAGATTAGGGGTGTGTGCCACCATGTCCGGCAAGCTCTGGTAATTCATTGGTTTGGTGATGGACCTGATTGGACAACTAGAGCCCTCCGTGCCAGAATCCTAGAAGGGAAAAGAATCTGAAATGTGAAAGTAGGTGTTTGTGGCACATGGCTATAATCCCAGCTACTTGGGAGGCTTAGTCAGGAGAATCAAGTTTGTCTTGACCAACCTTACCTCAGCAACTTAGTGAGATCCTATCAAAATAAAAAAGGACTAGGGACATAGCGAAGTGGTATATCTCTTCACCACTGAGTTAGGTCCCCAGTACCAAAAAATCTGAAATGCCATCTAACTTCCCTCTCAAAGACCCTGTCACATGTTCACATGTTCATTCAGCCTGGGTTTGAATGTTTCCTGTAATGGGGCTCTTGCTGGGCCTGTGTCAAGGTCATCTGCCCTTTGGGGTATATGGGACAGTGGAGTAAGTTTTTTGTCTCTCTAGATAGAGACAGCCATCCACTCCCTGCAAGACTCCTCTCTAGATAACCATACCCAGATCCTGCACTGAGCTGCTTCTCTCGATTCTCTACTTTGCCAAATGTGGCCCCTAAACTGGGTCTTAGAGTTCTGGATGTGTGCTCACCTGTCTGAGCACAGAGAGAATAACTTCTACTACTGGATAACATATCCTAAAACCACATTACCACATTAGGATTTTCTCTCTTTCTGTCTTTTTTCTTTTTGCATTGTTGGGGATTGAACCCAGGGTCTTGGGTGCATTAGGCAAGGGTTCTACCACTGTGCTGTACTCCAAGCCTCCAGAGATTTTTTTTTTTTTTAAGTAACTATGAAATTACTGACCCTAAATATTTCAGGCTACCTAATCCTGTGGTTCCTTCCCCATCTCTAGAAACCATCAAACTCACATCCTCATTCAGATGATCAGCCAATGAATGATCCAGTAGTAGAAGCCTGTGAAAGAGGCCCAGGCCTGAGGGGGCTGGCCCACGGGGTAGGTGGGGGGCTTTGGACTCTTCTAGGTCACTCCACCCTGAGGGACCCAGTGGCATCTCTGCCCAGACATCCACACTCAGCTCAGGGTCCTGTGGCCTGGAATGGATGGGACAGCAAGTCAGACCCTCTGCCTTGAGAGTCTCTCAGGGTCCTTAGGGGAAGGGAAGGCCAGCCACTGGCTGGAGTTCCTGGGACTCAGAAACCCAAGACATATCAGTCCTGAGGAAATCTGGGCGCTCTCACTTTATAGGGAGGCTCAAGAATGAGAGCTGCAAGGGAGGGGAAAAGCCAGAAATGCTATAAATTGGGAGCAAAATAAATCTGAAGACATTGAGTAGTGGGTCTAAGAATAAGGAATTTGAGGGCATAGGGATTTGGAGGAGGCAAGAAGGCAATGAGAATACTAAGGAGTTGGGTTCCAAATAATTTGTAATTCCAGGGATCCATTCAAAGGAGCCAGCACTAGGCAACTGGAGATTGATCTAAGCACTGAGAAGGGATGGAGAGAGGGGTTAGTACCTGTGTGTGAAATTGTCTTCAGCTGGGAGTGCAACCCGACCAGTTGGAAGCCCATGATGTCCCAGGCGGAGCCCCTGAACTCGGCCCAGCCCCAGGCTATGAAGAAGCCGGGCCAGGCCCCCTGCTGTCAGCGTCCCATTCTCTCCGTACAGGCCAAACAGCTGGGCCAGGTAGTGATTCTGCTCCTGCTCAGCAGGGCCCAGGTTGGGGACTGAACCCCCTACCCAGCCTAAGATCAACCCTATACATAGGCCAGCCAGCAGATAACACACTGGGGCCCCCATCATTGAAAGGAATTAGAGGCTCTGATTCTGGCTTCTATTCCACCTGGAACATCCTTAGGACTGTGCCCTAAAAGAACAAGAAGGAAGGGATCAAGGCTGCTTTCTACTCTCAGGTTCCATGCTAGGGGAAGACCATCAGTACTTCCACTTGTCCCCCACTTGAATCTAGCAGCAGCCCCCACTCAGGCCTTCTCCTACCCTTCCAATAGTCTCCTGGAACAGTCTCCTGTTTGCCAGTTTCTAGAGCACCTTCCTGATCCAGCCCTCTCTCCACACCTGCATTCTCTGGTCTCCCATAACCCACCCCTAACCTTGTTCTACCTCTCTATGCCCCCTAAATTCCCAGGGCCTCACCCTTACTGGCAATGTGAAAACTTTCACCTCAGTTCCCTGCAGGCCTTGCTGTGGACATTAAGAAGTTCCCAAGCCATAGAGGGGGAAACTCCAGGTGCCCGGGTGCAATGGAGTCCTGGGCTCAGCCTCCAGGTGCCAAGATGCAATGGAGTCCACGTCATATAGAGGGCCGTGATGGATAGGCTCCCCCTCCTAGCCCACCTGCTTTGGGGCGGGGCCAGTGTAGGAAGGTTCACATAGGAGTTAATGATTCACTCTTATCTGGGGTGGGGGTCAAAGATCAGTCTACTGGGCCCCCAGTTGGGACAAGCCACTTTATGCCCTGAGACAGCCACATGGTTAGGAACTTGTGCTGTTTTTTCTCCTCTTAAATTAATTCACTCTACCCCTAACCCAGTTAATAGCACTTGAACCTTTTCCTGTATATACTCCTATCCCACCCACCTTACATCTGGTACTGAGCTTCTCCTGTCTCCAACCTCCATCCCCATGTTCCCTGGGAAGACTTGACCCAGGTGTCCCTAAGTTGGGGAGGAGGGGAAAGGACAGATAAGTGGCCACCCCAAATGCATGTGTGGGGAAGAAACTGTTCTCAGCAACTCCTCACCCCAGGAATCCTAAGAGCCAACACTCTGGGAATGACGACGGAAGAAGGGGAAGCTCAGCTGGGAAAAGGAAACAAGTAGTGGGCTCCCCTTTGATGTCTGACCTGATTTAAGATGGAGGAATAAAGTCTGATTAGGGAGATTTGTCCAGAGGGTTGAGGTTAACATTACCTGGCAGCAGGAGACAGGAAAGACGCCCAAAGGAAGGGGACCCAGCCTTCTTCTGGGAGGCAGGCGGGCAAGGGTCACCTGCAGGAACGGGGCAGGGGAGGGACACTACCTTAAAGGGGCAGGCTTGCTTTGCCTAGGCCTCCTTGCCTATAACTTATCTCCCCTCCACCTCCTAGGTTAGCTGACTGCTGTCTTTTTCCTTCTCCCCCCAAAAGCAAAGAAGTCCAATAAAGAGTGGAAACATTTATTAGGAAGGAGGATTTCAATTAGATCCCCACATTACACAGGAAACAAACTATGTAACTATAGTTTCTAAAGAGGAAAGAGGGCAGGTAGAGGGTCCTGGATCACAGGGGACAGGCAGCTCAGCTGGACAAGAGGGATTATGAATTTTGGGTGAATAAAGCCACGCAGCTCACCACCCCTCCAGGGAGGTTTAGTGGCTAGGGCTGCTACTTCAGCCCCCAACCCCAAAGCCAGAAACCTATTAGCCTGTCTTGTTCTCTAGCAGACACCTGGGTTATGCTGATGGCAGGAGAAAAGAAAGAATGTCTTGCTATCTCTTGCTGCTCCTGCGTGTTTCTTTGCCGTTACTTATGGGATTGCTGGAGGGGCCAGGAGGGCCAGCTGGTGTGTGGCTGGGCTGGCTTCGAGTGATTCTGGTGCTAGGTGGGTGGGAGGGAGTGTGAGGGGGGTGTGGGCCACCACCAGAACCTGGTGGGGTGCTTAGTCCATTCCCGTTCTGGTTCTCAGAAGCTAGTTGTAGGAAAAGGAGAAGAAACACAGAATCAGAGTTAAGTAAGACAGGAGTCCATTCCAACAGCCTACCTTCATGCCCCAGAAAGCAGCAGTCTTCACACTGCACCACAGATTAATGTCAACTGGACCAAGTGAAAGTATTAACGTAACCCAGAGAACTCTTGCTTACTATGGAAGTCTCTACAGGAACCCTGTTATGATATTTTTCTAATTCAGCTCTATATCACTGAGAGTCAGACCTAGGATTAGCTGTTCAGTTTAAGGCTTGAGGAACTCCAACAAACATGACCCTTGATTAAGGGTGACTGTAAAACTAGAGAAGCATGGGAAGGGGAAAGGCTTAAGTCTCTAAATGAAAGAAGGGGGCTGAATTTGTAGCTCAGTGGTTGAGAACTTGCCTAGCATGCTTGAAAAAACCAGTAAAAAGGAGCTTTAAGGGCTGGGGCTGTGGCTCAGCGATAGAGTGCTCACCTAGCACGTGTGAGGCCCTGGGTTTGATCCTCAGCACCACATAAAAATAAAGGTATTGTGTCCAACTACAACTAAAAAATAAATATTAAAAAAAAAAGAGCTTTAAAAAACAATTTAAATCAGGCTGGAGATATAGCTCAGTTGGTAGAGTGCTTGCCCCACGTGTAGAAGGCCCTGGGTTCAATCCCCAGCACCACACACAAAAAAAAAAAAACAAAAATTAAAAATGTTAAAAAGTGGTGTGTATGTATGAATTTATGTTCATTTTAGAAAATATAAATATAAGCAAAAAATATTACACATAATATTATTCTCTCAAAGATAAGTTTTGTGTAAATTTCATTTATTTATTCATTGCAGGGTTGGGGATTGAACCCAGTGCCTCACATAAACTAGACAAGCTCTCTACCACTGAGCTAGATCCTCAGCCTCTCCTCACCCCAAATATATTTTATTTTATTGATTTATTTTTATGTGGTGCTGAGGATTGAACCCAGTGCCTCACACATGCTAGGCGGGTGCTCTACCACTGAGCCATAACCCCAGCCCCCAAATATATTTTAAAAGTTTGACTGGAACCAGCCAGGTGTGTGAGATGACTTTTTTAGGCTCCTATAACTGTGCATATCACTCTCAAGCTCTTAAAGGCAGGTATTGTACTTTATTCCTTGGCACAGATTAGGTGACCTATAAATGCTTGTTAAATGAAGGCAGAGGCCTGTCTCTCCCATACATAGGGCACTGCACACACTAATAGTGTAGAAGTTATAGGCTAGTGGTTCTCAATCCATATCTTTTCTGAATGCTACTGTTTCAACAGAATAAGATATCTGCAGAACTGAAGAATAATGTCCTTTCTTTATTTCACAGAAAAAAGTGAATGTATAGAAGTTAATGTTAAGTTTTTGTGCCATACACACTTCTTTTTTTTTTTTTTAAGATAGAGTGAGAGAGGGAGGGAAAGAGAGAGAGAGAGAATTTTTTTTTAATATTTATTTTTTTTAGTTTTTCGGCGGACACAACATCTTTGTTTGTATGTGGTGCTGAGGATCGAACCCGGGCCGCACGCATGCCAGGCGAGCGCGTTACTGCTTGAGCCACATCCCCAGCCCCCATATACACTTCTTTTGTGTCTGTGTGGTAATGGGGGTTGAACCCAGGACCTGGTGTAAGCTTGGCAAGTGCTCTACCCCTGAGCTACATCCCACTCTTTTTAAAATTTTATTTTGAGATAGGTCTTGCTAAGATGCCCAGGCTGGTCTCAAATTTGGGATCCTCCTGCCTCAGCCTGAGTAGCCGGGATTACAGGTCTGTGCTACTGTACCTGGCAGTCACACTATTTTTGGGGGAGTGGGTAGATTTTTTTGGTACCAGGGATTGAATCCAGGGGTGCTTAATAATAAAGCCACACCCCCAGCTCTTTTTTAATATTTTATTTGAGACAATTTACTAAATTGCTAAGGCTAGCTTTGAACTTTCCATCTTCCTGACTCAGCCTCCCAAGCCAAGTACTGGGATTTTAACTCAGGAATGTTTTACCGCTAAGCTACATCCCCAGTCCTACTTACTTAATTACTGGTTCTAGGAACTGAACCCAGGGGCATTAAACTACTGAGCACATCCCCAACCTATTTTTTTTATTTTGAGATAGAGTCTGTCTAAGTTGGTTAGGGCCTTGCTAAATTGTTGAGGCTGCCTGGTCTCCAACTTGCAATCCTCCTGCCTTAGTCTACTGAGTCCCTGGGATTAAAGGCATGTGTCACCATACTCAGCTTTCAAATGTTTTTTAATTAAATTTTTTGTATCTGATAGCAGATGACAAAGTGAATAAACATGTGGTAAATGAATTTTAGAGGCAAACAGGCTTAGATGCACCTTATTTAAAAAAAATAAACATATAGCCAGGCATGGTGGTAAACTCCTGTAATCCCAGTGACTTGGGAGGCTAAGGCAGGAGGATTGCAAGTTCAAGGCCAGCCTCAGCAATTTAGAGAAGCCGTAAGCAATTTAGTGAGACCCTGTCTCAAAATAAAAAATAAAAAAGGTGGGCTGGGGTTGTGGCTCAGCGGTAGAGCACTCACCTAGCACGTGGGGGCACTGGGTTCAGCACCACATAAAAATAAAATAAAGGTACTGTCTCCAACTACAACTAAAACAAAATAATTAAAAAAATAAGAAATAAAAAAGGGCTGGAAATATGGCTAAGTGGTTAAGCATCCCTGGTTTCAATTCTTGGTGCCAAAACCAAAAACAAGTAACAACAAAAATATATTTTGGGTACTGGGATTAAACCCGGGGCCTTGCACATGCTAAGTGAGTACTTTACTACTGAGCTACCCACTCCTTTTTAAAATTTTATTTGAGACAGGGTCTTACTAAGTTGCTCAGGCTGATCTTGAATTTGGGATCCTGCCTTAGCCTCTCAAGTAGCTGGTATTACTCGTGTGTACCACCATGCCCAGCCTAAAAATATTTCTGTATGTGATAGAGTCTTGGACATCTAAAAATATATAACAGTCATATTTCCTTTCTTTCTTTTTCTTGTTTAAGTGCTGGAGGTTGAACACAAAGACTTTGCCACCAAACTACCCCCTAGCCTCAACAGTCCTATTTACTGTTGAAAAATCAAATGCTAATTTTTGTGCAGGAATTAAATATTGTCCAGGCTGGGAAACTTAGCAAGACCCTGTCTCAAAATAAAATAAAAAGGGCTGGGGATATAGTTCAGTGGTAGATGACCCCTGGGTTCAATTCCTAGTACTGCAAACAAACAAAAATTGTTGTGAATTTATGGTTGTATTATTCAGGATTCTCCATAGGGCCAGAACCAATATAGTATAAGATATGTACTGTTATGTATCTCATAATGACATTTCAATCAGCAATGGTTCACATCTATGACAACTGTCCCATAATATTATAATGCAGCTGAAAAATATACATGGCCTAATGACACTGTAGCCACAATAATGTAGTATAATGCATCACTAACATGTTTATTGTAATGTTGGTATAAATAAATCTGCTGAGATGTCAGTAGAGCACATACAATTATGTATAGCACATAACACTTGATAATATTAATAAATGACTACATTACTGGTTAATGTATTTATTATACTATACTTCCTTTTTTTTTTGGGGGGGGTACCAGGGATTGAACTCAGGGGCACTGAGCCACATCCCCAGCCCTATTTTGTATTTTATTTAGAGACAGGGTATACTATTCTTTTTATCATTATTTTAGAGTGTACTCCTTCTACGTAAAAAGAAAAAAAAAGTTAACCATGAAACAGCCTCAGGCAGGTCTTTCCGGAGATTGTCTACAAGAAGGCATTGTCATATTAGATGATACCCTCTGTGTGTTATTTCCCCTGAAGACCTTCCAGTAGGACAAGGTGAGGAGGCAAAGACAGTAATATTGATCCACTCTAGGATGTTCACACAATGATGTGTGAATGTATCCCTATCACAAGTGATACATGATCACATATATTTATATTTAACTGTATATATTATATACATACATTACAATTTGTTACAAAGAATCTACAAAAATATTTTAAGGTCTTGTAAGTGAGACTGTTTGCCTCTAATATTCACTTGCCACATGTGAAGAAACTGTTCTCTTTTTTGATTTGAGTGGTAGTAGCAAAAGGGTACTCCAGCTCTACAAGTGACTGAAACAGGTTTCTAAATCTTTTTACCACAGGGACTTGGAAAAGGCATGAAAAATGAGGTTACAAGGCTGGGCATGGTGGCAACACCTGTAATCCTAGTGACTTAGGAGGTTGAGGTAGGAGGATCACAAGTTTGAGGCCAGCCTGAGCAACTCAGCAAGACCCTGTCTCAAGATGATAAAAAATAAAAAGGCCTGGGGATGTAGCTCAGTGGTAGAGCATTTCTGATTCAATCCCCAGTACTAGGGGGCATAAAAGGGGGGAGGTTACAAGAAAAATTGGGTTAGGGGATACTGAAGAGAAAAGAGATTTAAAACAGGGATGAGGGAAATGTGTCTTTCTAGGCTGGGGAGAGTATTGGAGTTAAAAGGGCCAGCTGATGAAAAGGAATAGTTTTACCTGGTGAGGCAGCAGGGGGTCCAGTGGTAGCCTGGGGGGCTGTAGGACTGCTGTCGTTCTGCCCCTGAAGACACAGATTACATACTCAGACCCTGCTCCCCACCATGCTTTTTAACCTAATCTTTCCCCTTCACTAGCATCAAGCCAGAGGACTCACCGCTTTGTTGGGTGCCTGCTGGGTGCTGTACTCTGGGTTCGGCTCACTGAAGTTAGGAACCTCAGAATAGACCATACAGAATCTGCAGAGGGAAAGTAGCCAAAGCCTTGGACCCATCTTTTGGGTCACTGATGGAGGCCTCAGAAAAGTCCAGATCCTGGGCATGGACTGCAGACCCTATGCTACTTCCATTGAAACCTTAACTGCCCCCTGTTGGCCTGTTGCTTCTTTATCCCAATCCCCCAACCAGCACTTACTCTCCAATCTTCTGTAAATCACCCCCACGGCCAGTATACAGTGTCAGACAACCTTTGAACACAGAAGCATATCTGTGCAGGAAAAAAAAATAAATAAATAAAGCAGGATTCATAGTCTTCATAAGAGTTATAGGAATCTTTAACCCTATCTGTCTTGACTATTGTTGCCCTGGGAATAGCCAGGAATCACCAACTGCCTTACCCTTTGGTGAGCCTGATAATGTCTCCAGGCTGGATCAGGTTGCCCACGTCGTCCCAGACCGAAATATTGATGCTGCCTGTTTTGTCTGCCACTTTGCAGGTCCGAACCTCGTGCCCGTCCTTCGTTTTGGTCACCCGGCCTGAAGGGTACAGATAAATGGGGGTGGTAAGATACTTAAACAAATGGGGCAGTAATGGTCAGAGAGATGATATCTGGATATTGGTGGGGGGAGATAAAAGGTGTACAAACAAATCAAAGCCCAAATCCCTGGTGCTGGAGGGTGGGGGTTGGTAGTGGAGAAGCCAGCACCATGGAGAGGGCTGAGTGGAAAGAGGCCCGCGTGACACTGGGTGCATAGCTCTGGTAAGAGTTCTATCTACACTACCCTACTGCAACTCCCTGTGTTAGGATCTGAGATGGGGACTGAGCCATGCCTTAGGGCGCACCCTGCTGTCCAAGGAGCAAGTTAACAGAGGCGATGAGTTCCCCCTCCCTCCCACACCCCACACCTCGCGAACCCGAACCCGCCACTCCAGCATAGCCACCTGTCTCCAGCACAATGAAGATAAGGTTCAGATTCTTGAGCCCGGGCTTGATATCCTTCACAAAGGTCTCCGTCGTCATGCTGCCCGAGCCTCAGCACCCCACTGGAACAGGGAACAAGGGACGGAGGCTCACGGTTGGAGCTTTTGCCCCCATGCTCCACTTCTCAAAGGCCTACCTACCATACAAAGCTGGGATCAAACAGCCCTAATTCCTCTAACTCTTGTAGAAGGTTAGAAACGAACTTTCCCGGGCGCCTCGAACTTTAAGAAAAGAATCTTGGGGAAGGGTGTCTGAATAGAATGCTTAGGGGCTGGGAGGCCCCTAGTCAGGATGCTCTTTCAGTCTTACACCCCAAAGCAGGGGAGCCAACGGAGGCTTAGGAAACCCGGTGCAAGGCCAGGTAATGGAATCTTACCAGCCAAACCTTCCCGAACCCTCATCTGGACAACGCGGGAATCGGTCCGTTCCCTCCCCCATCCACAGCCCACTACCCACCCAGCCAGGAGGCCGGACCGTGCACGCCGCCGAGCCGCCCGCAGGGGGAGCCACAGGCCCCGCTGCCGCCGGATGCTGCCCGACGGAACGTGGGAGTATGGACATTTCCGGAAGCCTCCCCGGGCTGACCTCCTCGGGCCAATCACCACCACTGGGGTGCGCCCCACGCTAGCTGCGAATCCCCGTCCAGCCAATCAGGCTCCGAGATTCGCGCGTGGCGACCCGGGAGGAGTTCAGGAATTAAAGGAGCCTGGGAGATGATTTGCTCAGCAGTGGGCAAGGTGAACCACCAGGGGGCGGTTCAGGCCCCAATTTTCCTTTACTTGGCTGAGAGAATGCATTTAATGGGCTCTTAGGATTTTTTTCCTTAGAAAAGGACCAAGGGCATTGGAATCCTGTGGACAAAAGTTTGAGGGACTTCACTGCTTCACTTTTCTCGATAACTCTTAAATATGCAATTCCATTTTATAGATGAAAAAACGGAACTTATACAAAAAGCCAAGCCGAGGACACAGCAGGCACTTATAAATATACCAGTTCCCTCGATTTTCCCCTGCTCCAACCATCATCTTAATTCCTGATTTGGGTCGTCTTCTTCTTCCTCTTCTTCTCTCCTCTCTCTCTCTTTTTTTGTACTGAGGATTGAACCCAGGAGCCCTCTACCACAACTACATCCCCAGACGTTTTTATATTTTGAGATAGGGTCTTACTAAGTGGCCCAGACTGGCCTTGTACTTGTGATCCTCCTGCCTTTCCCTCCTGAGTTGCTATGATCACAGGCGTGTGCTACCATTCCGGCGGGGTCTTCATCTTTAATGCACTAGCCAGCTCGGTCAGGACTTTCGGGGCTCCTGGGGTACATATCAGGGACTTACAATAGGCAGCCTCAAACCCCTTTGAAAGAAAATGGAATCCGGGCATAAAGAGCAACATTTGCATTAATCCTTCTCATTAGTTCGCAAGGCACCTGTTCCTATTACCTTATCTCACTGGAAGAGAGTTCCTGGGGGGACAAGAGAGGCCAGAACCTTTAGTTCCTTTTGGGACTTGTAGGATAGTCAAGGAAAGGTAGATAGTTTTGTAGTACTGTGTATAAACAAATTAAATAAAAATATACTATGTGCATTACTATTTGCTTAGCGAATATCCATAACAAATACTATTTAATACCAGATTAGCCTAAGAAGTCCTGTAATTGTAATGCCTTGGTTAGTTAAATTAATCCCTTACCTTCGCATAGTGTGCTTTAAGCTCCCCTATAACTTCCCTCGGAACTCCCACATTCCCAACCATGGTGCTGCAAACTAAGGAAATTACGCCGTAGGAAGAGGGACATCGTCTCTCTCTTCTCTCTCCTTAGTGTTTCAGGGTATTTGTTTTTGAGCCTTCGTGAATAGGGCAGGAGTATGGCTGGGAGAGGAGGACAACCAGTTGAGCATCCCTAGATCAAAGGTTTGTGGGGAGACACTCCACCCCACCGCCGCCTTGTTAACTGCAGTATCCATTCTCATGATTATGAATCACAGGTTCAGGAGGCTCAGGGATGCTGACCACGGTTCTGGAAACTGAGAGGGGCCTGGAGGATGGCAGATCACACTGCAGGCCAGCCGCCCCCCACAATGTCGCGTCACTCTGCATCCGCTCTAGAATACAAGAGACATGCGCCCCTCCAAGGCGAACTGTCGCCTTCTAGGGCAGTCGACTTCAGACTCGCTCCGGACTTTGACACCGCTAAGAACTTAGAGTCGTTCCTCCCAAAAGGCTATAGAGTCCCGAGATGGGACCACGAGCACTTCCGGTCTAGAGCGGACGCCAGGCTAGCCTCCGTCGCTCCTCGTTGGCTGCTCACAGCTTCTAGTCGCGCTCGAGTTAAACAAAGAGGCGGGGCTTGGTGACCGGATTCCGCCAGGTTGCGTAGCAGCAGTGGGCGGGGTAAAGGATCCTTCTGAGACAGCGACGAGTGGTCAGAACCTTCTTTCCCCTCCTTCTCCTTCCCCTTCCCCTTCCCCTCCCGGGAAAGGCTGGGACCCGGCACCGGGGCTATCCTGTGGCCGCTGCGGCCTCAACTCCTGGCAGGCCCGGGTACGGAGAGCCCAGACTGCGTCCAGGGTGGTGCGTACTGCGCCTGCGCGAGTTTTCACCTAAACCAGGGTGTGGGAGGGGAAGGGGCGAAGTCCCAGGGGTTTTGGTTCTAGATACTGGGGTTCCGGAGAAGGGGTGAAGTAAAGATGAAAAACGAAGGAAGAGGGCAGCCTTGGGAAGGAGTAGGGAGGTGAGAAGGGGGCTTTGGAGGTTGTGTTGCTGGGGGAGGTGCCCTGGAGTAGGGGAGTCTTATGTGAGGGAGGGGGTCTGAGCCAGCCGGAGGACTGGGAGGAGCGGACCCGGGGAGAACAGCGTGGTATTTAAATGGACAATGATTGACAGGCTTGGAGGGAAGGAAGGGAACGTTCGGGGGGGCCAGCCTCAGCAGGGGCGGCGGAACCTGAACCTCCGCCCTCAAAGCGCAATAGCTTGGCTTCTCTCCCATGCCTTGTCTTTGGCAGCCTTGTGTCTTTCATTCCTTCCCAGCTCCTTTTCCTCTCCCAGCCTTCCGCGAAGGAATCTCACATTCCTTACATCTTTGTTTGCAGCCTGGTCCTCATGCACGCTTCACGCAACCTCTTCACACACCATAAACCCTGCCCCAATTTAGGATGCAGGGATATTGAGGAGTGGGGAGCTGGGGGCTGAAGAAGAAGCCAGAAGCCAAGAGGGGTGAAAGCGTTTTTTGCTTGAGGGGTTGACAGATATCTTCCCCATTAAGAAACATTTCATCTGACAGCAAATGAGGCTATTACTGAGGTCGCGATTTTTGGAGAATGATCTATGCAAGTCTTATTCCTTCCTATACAATGGTTTTCGAGTCTGACAATAGGCTGATGGTGTTGCAGGCTGCTAGTCTTTCAGCAAGTAGGAATGGAGTGGGCTAGTGAGGGAATATGAGTGATGCAAAAGTGTTATTACCCTATGTATCCAGTTGACCTTGTGGCCTGGCCTAGTTCCCAGTAATTGAAAAGAAGGAACAAGTTTTTCCAAACATTTCCTCTGGCTCTCACTATAAATCTATTTTGCCGTAATATTTCTACAAATAATACCTTACCTGAGGATAGTAGAATTAAGTATACTTTTGAATTCTCATTTGTTTGTAGGACAGTATATAAGGTAGTTAGGGCAGGTATCATTTTCTGTACCTGACAATTCAGGAAACTGAAAACTACAGAAGGGTTAGATAGTTTATTCAAAGTTGTCCAGTTGGTTGCTCCATAACTAGGACTAGAATCCAAGTCTTCTGACTTCTGTTGTCCACTCTGTTGAAAAACCCCATTTTGTTCTACCCAGTGGGGTATTGAAGTAGGATTGGTTTTCTGAGTGTGAGCAACTATTTACTTTCTGAGTCTGGAACTTGTCACTTGAAGGAGGCTTGAGCATAGCCATAGTACTGGTTCCTGGAAGCATTTCTCTTCTTTTTTTTTTTTTTTGGTACCAGGATTGAATTCAGGGGCACTCAAACACTGAGCCACATCCCCAGCCCTATTTTGTATTTTATTTAGAGACAGGGTCTCAACTGAGTTGCCTAGTGCCTCACTAAGTTGCTGAGGCTGGCTTTGAACTTGCAATCCTCCTGTTTTAGTATCTGAGCTGCTGGGATTACAGGCATGCACCACACACCTGGCATGGAAATACTTCTTTCTTTTTTTTTTTTTTTTTAAATATATTTTTTAGTTGTAGATGCACACAATACCTTTATTTTATTTGTTTATTTTTTTGTGGTGCTGGTGATTGAACCCGATGCCTCTGGCATGCTAGGCAAGTGCTCTACCACTGAGCCACAACCCCAGTTTTTTTTTTTTTTTTTTTTTTAATGTTTATTTTTTAGTTGTAGGTTGACACAGTACCTTTATTTATTTGTTTTATATGGTGCTAAGGATTGAACCCAGTGCTTCACACATGCTAGGCAAGCGCCTACCTCTGGGCCATAACCTCAGCCCTATGGAAGCATTTCTTGAGGTACAAATGTATTTTATTGGGAAATGGGGGTATCATCCAAATGAAAGAAATATGATACCCTTTTTTGTATTAAGGGTGGGAAAGGAAAGTATAGAGAAATACCAACACCTCCCAACCCCAGCTGAACCACAGGCAAGAGAAAGTGTGTCTGGCATGGCACCTTTATTACTCTGATTAATTTAAAAATATGTGCTAAAGCTGGGCTTGGTGGAACATATATCTATAATCCCAGCAACTCGGAGGCTGAGGTAGGAGAATCACAAGTGTGCGGCTAGCCTCAGCAACTTATTAAGGCCTTAAGCAATTTAGCAAGACCCTGTCTCAAAAAATAAAAAGATCTGAGAATGTGGCTCAATGGTAAAGTGTCCCTGGGTTCAGTCCCCTTTACAAAAAAAAAAAAGAAAGAAAGGAAGGAAGGAAGGAAGAGCAAAACACACTGTGGCTAATGAGCATGAAACATTATTGAACATATGTACCAGACTCGAGATGAAGCGGTGGGGCTGGAGTTGTGGCTTAGTGGTAAAGCATTTGCCTGGCATGTGTGAGGCATTGGGTTTGATCCTCAGGACAACATAAAAACAATAAATAAAATAAAGATATCCAACAACTAAAAAATATTTTTTAAAAAGAGATGAAGTGGACTTTGTATTATGTTTCTTTAATTTGTTTTTTGTGTTTTTCCTTTAAAGTATTATGTTTTAAAGTCATCATCCTATTTTATCCCAACACAGTCCTTAAATTATTAACAGACACATATTAGTGAGGAAATAAGTTTGAATAATTGCTATTCCCCTGAAAATAGTTGAGTAGATCTCATAATCACCTTTATCTTTTCTGTTTGAGTCCATTCTTGTAAAGGTGAGAGTCTGGTCACCCTAATTTTACTGCTCTTCAGCCTTCTGAGTTGCCCACTCTGGAATAATTTCCTTACTGCCTATTTTATTTTATTTAAAGGCCAGTCCCTTCAAGAATATTTCCTGACTTAGGAAGTAGAATTGCACATGTACCATCATTCTTGAGCATCTCTGTATGAAGTAGTATTTCCAATTAAAGGGTAGGAC